CCGAAAAATCGGGATTGTCATCGGTTTTGGACTTCGCGTCCAGTGTCTCAAAATATGTTTTCGGGATATCCGTGTGTCCCGGCTTAGGCGTTAAGAGGAAATGCAGTATTGTTTAATTTTTAATTTCGACCATTTTATCTCAAAGTACATTTTTAATCGTAATCAATATATAATAAAAAGATAATTTGTATTTTACACGTATAAATATATAATATACTTTATTTTACAAAAATATTTTTAAATATTATATTGCCGGTCATTAATAGTCCTCTTCAGTGGCGTATATATAACTTTTGTATGCGAGGGGAATCATTTGCAAACAAATCATTATTTTTTTTTTTTTTACGTTTCTAACTCCCTTGCACTAAGAACATTTATTTTATAACATTTAAAAAAAAAGGCCTATGGGGGATCTGACCTCCACATTGCCCCGTGTATACGCTACTGGTCCTCTCAATATATTAAAAGTTACCTATATAAAAAGTATATTACTCAATATTGTGTTTGTTTTGTTCCGGTTTCGCCTTATAAATTTATGGTAACCGTAAGCTTGTATTTCCTCGATAGTACAATGTGCTAATAAAATAGATTACTAGTATCGTGTACATGAAATAACTATTGTAGTATGTGCTGTTAAAACAACTGACTAGTAGTGATTCACTAGTTGCTAGTAAACTTGCATCATGTAAACTACGCTTAACTAATTCGGTTAATTAGTTAACTAGTAAACATAATTTAGGCAATGCTTTTTTACTAGCATATAGTAAACTAGCTAATTGCTGGTAAACAAGCATTGTGTAACATAGGTTTAATATTACTTTATATCCCCACTTCTACATTTCAAAATATCACAAAATTCATTTGAAAATTATCCCGATCACAAATATACCTAAATCATACGTTTTTTATGATTCTGGCAATAAGTGATTTATCAAAAAACTAATAATTCATAAACATTTATAAAATGTGGATACGGATATTATATTATATGTTCAAATATTTAGTGGTTGGTATCTACAATGACGTCAGTCTATAAAAATAAAAATATTACATCAATAGGTAACTCAAAATAAAATTAAATATAGACGAACATGGAAATAGAAAAAAATAATGCATATTGTTTTGGTAATACCTACATATCACTAGACGAATAATTTGCAACTATTATTTTATTTGTACAACATAATAACTATTCGGACATTTTGATTTTTGAATGAAAAAAAAAAACGCCCAGCTTTTTACTGCTCGTCCAGAAAAATGAATGCGTGTGTATAATGTAACACAATACGGATGGATATATAAAAGTTACCTTAACAAAGTAACACGGTATATTTTATGTCATTATTCAACATTTATTCTGTTAACGTATGTTCGGAAATATTGCACCACTCAGCCACCATAGTTTCTATATATAAATTGATTCGTATAGCAAGAGGGTTAATTAATATATTTAAAACACAAATTTCAGCATCGATTAAAATTCAAGTGCAATTAAATCGTACCAACAGCACTACCTCCGTGCATTTTTACATGACGGACGCACATACGTGTCCACGCGCGCAGAAGCAGGTATACGGATAGTACGTGGTAAGTTGTCCGCGTTCTAAAACGTCTTTCACGAGATTCCTACAATCATTCGGAGGGAAGTTTTCACCGACCAAACGATAAAACGACCCGCTTCCGGAAGTTGATTTATCGTCAGAAAATTTCGTCTCTCCGCTTAAAACCGCCCCGTAACCGACGACGACGACAATGATAGCCTCGCCGCGCTCAGTAAATTGGCACCTAAACTACTTTTTATAACTTCATTCGATACGTATATATATATATATATATATATATAGACGAGTATTTCGTTGTGAATCAATGGCGAACCGATCAATAGCCAACGGTCGTGCTCGTGATATAATATAACAGACATTTCCCCGAAAACTGGTATATATATTTATATATAATAATATATTACTACACGTTCGACGTGATGGTAGTAGCAAGGGAGGACAATGAATTTACTGCTTTAAATATTCCAGGGAGGATGCTCATTACAATAACAAATTATACGCTGAAGCTGCCACATCTGCGGGAAAACCAGACGTTATAGTACAACAAGCATAAAAAAAAAGTACGCGGAACAATACCCAAACTACAAACATTAAAATTGAAAATTCGACCTATTCCATCGCAACTCAGATGGTGGTGTAGATGTATTCCAAATATATATGTGTGTGTTGTAGAATATTTGGTGACGGTATTCACGCACTACGTGGAATTTCTATTGACAAATTTTAAACGGATGTCACGAATTTAGATTTACAGTACAAAACAAAATGATCAATGTCCCTAAATGACAAATGCATAATATAATAAGTTGAATATGATTATTATTAACTAAATAATAACTGAAGACTCACACTAAAGTCGCTGTTATTATAATATTACTTAATTTAAAATATTGTACCTACCTATTAGTTTTATCAAACGCATAAACGTTGTACAATAAATCAACATAGTTACAGACACAATGATTTATTGCACTATGTAGAATATACGTTATTATTCAAATAAAGAAATTTTTACTAAACACTAAATCAACAGACAACTGGGTACAATTTAATAAAACAAACTCAAATTAAAAATACTGACAGTGACTGAATCATAAAATATTCCAAATGGTTCATTACAATCATATATCATACAAAAATATATCGTTATAATTTCGTTGTTATAAATATTCAAATATTGAAAATTGTTCACAGTATTACTTAAGATCCTAAATATATTTATTTTTAAATCCCAAAGCAATTTACAGTAACAAAATTATAATGTATAAAGTAAAAATAACTATAAAAAAAATTACTTAAAATATTTCATATTATGACTTATTTGAGTTAAATACCTTATAAACCATTAATTTAAAAATTATTGCTTCCAATATTACTAAAATTCTAAGGAATTTCCTAATTAGATTTTTTTTTTTTTATTAATTAAGAACTTTCAGTAAAAACTATTATAGTTCGACAATTAAAATATTAATAGATAACGTGATACAATAGTTGAATTAGTAATTAAAAATAATGAGCATAATGATTTAATAATAAATATGAATATAGTGTAAGATAAGAAGTAAACAGAACTGAATATTAGTGTATTTAATAACAAAATAATATTAAAATTAAATTAATTGATTAATAATATAGCGGAAAAAAAAAGAATTTATTATGGATGTTAAATCAGATAGGAATTTTGAAAGAGCTAAATTTAAATTTGAGTTTAGCTGATTAATGTTCGATTTTGAACCAGAAGTAGCAGTAGCATATGACGGGATGGATTGAGAGGGATCAATGGGGAGGGACTCGGAGAATAAGTTTTTTGTGTGTGTGATATTTTTTTTGGAGTTGGAAAATTTGATTTTGTGGCGATTTAAAATAGTTTGGTAGAACTGGCACCCCTTGAAGCTGGCCGTATGATTTTCGGAACAGTTGACGCATTTAGCTGGACTGGAGTGATCCTTGGTGTAGCTATCTGACTCATGAGCCTCGTCGCATTTGACGTAACGCGAAGGATGATGACAATAGTTTTGCGTGTGACCATAGTCTTGACAATTGAAACATTGCGGCGAACCGTATGTCTTATTGTTCGGTTTTTCAATCACTACTTTCGTGCTTAGTAATGAAGTGATGTTGTAAGATATGTTTATTATTAACATTAGGTTCGATGTCGACAAAAAATATTGGGAGAGGACAGTTATTTTTTTTTTTTATTGTGGACATTCCTCACTAAGTGTCCTTCTTCCGACAAAGTGGACGAAAAGTCAGCACTGAAAGTGGAATGATGGAGGTTTCTGATAACGATCCTGAGTGGACACTGACCGTGAGGACGAAAAGTATGGAAATTGGCGTCAGTTTCCATTAAATAATTTGACAATAAGTTGAAATTAATGCGACCGTTGGGACAGACGATAATGTACGAAAGAGTGGACTTACATGTAAACCCCTTGGGGCTGAGGGTCTTAATTAATACATCAATGAATGCGGAAAAGTTATTGATGTTCCTAATGTAGATTGGTGGAGCTGCAGGCTCTGCCTGATCAAAAGGGAGAGATGAAGGTACAGTGACTTCGCAGGATGGTGGTGCCGCATCGAATACAGTGTCATCGTTGATGTCAATTGAGACGAGAACAGCGAAACGGTTTGGTGAGGTGAAAGTTTTGGTCTTTTTCCCCTTGTGAAGAGAAGAATTTGGAGAAGTACTGGATAATACTCTTTTTGATGACGTAGGCGTACGAGATGGATTTTTACCAGAATGAATCATAATATGATATACATTGAAAACGAAGACGCAATTTACGTAATTAAAACACTGATAACAGAGAGAGCCTAAGAGCGTGTGTTCATGATGAACGTTATCGCCAGACTGAATTAGATTATTTTAGTTGAATTTGTCTTATTACTAAATTATAATGTACTAGCATATTGCAGTTTTAAATACATAAAAAAAAACCATATATAAATTCATCTTTTGCAAAGTAAAATATGCAGAATGGTAATTTGTCACATATAATTTTGAGCAGTTGATATTGTGTTTATGGGATTGAAAATTTAAAATATCATATACAGTATAGAAAAGAAGTTAAGGTCTGGAATAAATAAAAAATTAACTATAAATGAATAGTTAAAAAAAAAAAGCAAAAACACAAAATTTAATACATATAATAAAAAAAAAAATGTAACTCATTTAAATTTAATTTTAACTTAAGGACAATATGTAATTCTGGTTTCAGAATGTTAAACCAATTATTATTAATATTTTATAATACTTAAAAAGTACTCTTAGATCTCAGTCCGGAAGATGAATTGTATCTAAGGAATAAGTCCAGATATTTATTCAATTCCGGTAATAAAAATAAATATAATTTCCTATTTTATCGATATGTCCAACTATTATAAACGTAAAATTAAATATTAATATTATAATTATATTTATAATATTTAAACACTTACCCGTCGAAGATTTCCTTCTTTTAACATTAGATCAGGTGACGGAGAACCTCCATACGATGATTGCTGAAAAAAAAAAATTATAACTAAAAATAAAATTAAAATAAATAGTAAAACCATATTATATGCATTATTAACGCAGAGAGCAAAATAAAAACATCTATTATTCGTTACAATAAAAAAAAAAAAAAAAAAAATACTAAATCAATGTATGGTTTAATATCAACGAATGACCAATAGTATGAATATTAATGTAATTTATTGAAAAAAAAATTGAATTACAAAACCTTAATGTATAATGATTGTAATACACACGTGGAAAAAATCTTACAATTCTCCAACGAATATTATATGTTTTTGTGTTATTTTAAATAAAATATATAAATATAGTATCAATTTGAAATAAAATTACATAAATTTATATTATAACAAATGTATTAGAGCTTCATAACTAGTGAGATACAAGTTTAATAAAATAATATTTATACACTCTATATTTTAAACACCAACTCAATACCACTATGATTGGGAAATTTTATAACCATATTACAAATATAACAAATATTACAATATACCATTATATTATTATCTATATTATATTATTATTATTATTATTATTATTATTATTATTATTATTATTATTATT